AAACAAGAACATTTGAGCTCCTTGTGGTCCCTGAGTGGACCATGAGCTCCTCTGTAAACCAGAGGGTTCTAAATGTGAATCCATCTGTTTGACAGCTGAAGACTGAATCAAACTAGGTCCAACAGAACCATGATCCAAACACAGCAGCTGAGCTTCAACAGAACCAACGTGGTCAACATTCCTCCACAACAGTGTGACACTGATAAAATCCCACAGAGAGCCCCAGCTGCTGAAGAAGACTCTACTGTCTATTGGATCAGGAGCTAGATGCTGTTTTTCAGTTTTTAATTCAGACTTTGTTTTTGTCCAAAGAGGRAAAAAAAWGGTCAGAAGAATCAAGCGGCGCTGATCTGAGCTCAGATCTTTCACCTTGTAGAAGTGAGGAATACGTGTCGATCATCTTCAGGGAGGAGAAGAGCATCTGAAAGTTCCTGTAGCCACAGCCCCAGCCTCGATCCCCCACAGAGGAGCTGTAGTGGTCCGTGTCAGCGCTCAGCCACACGTGGACACAGTCCTTACASTCCGTCTGGTAGAACTCGTGCAGAGCGCTGAGGATGCCTGCACACAGGTGGGCAGAGTGTTAGTCCTGTTAGRGCCCAACAGTTTCTGAAGGGTTCGGGCCAAACATACCCTGGGTTCTGGTGGTACCATCGTCGACCCCTGAAGCCAAGGACTCCATTAACTCAACTCTCCTGCAGTGAAAGTCAGCAGGTGTCAGAAGACCCCTGGCCACAGCCCTCTCCATGGTCCTCTCCGTCTGTCGGCGGTAGCCTCCCCCACCGTCCACACCGAACCTCCTCTGAACAGAACAGACTGCAGGTTWCAAAACAGCCTCTCATGTTTGACTGATAAAAACAACCAGACCTGCAGCTTTTTAAACTCCTGCTGCTCCTGCTGGGCCTCCTCCTGCCGTCTCTTCAGCTCCTCCTCCTGCTGAAGCTGTGAGGCCAGCTGCAGGTCTGGGTCAGGGTCTAAAGACAACAGAGATGAGAGATCGGTGCAGCTTTGGGACTAAGTGAGGGGGTCTGTACTGACCTACATTGTGGTCCAAGTGTTGTTCTACGTGTTCCTGCAGGGAGAAGCTGTTGCTGAAGACAACTGAGCACATGGGACACTCAAACCTGCGCTGTCCTGCAACACATGGACCAGAGACAGAACTRAAACACACAGGGTACAAGAAACTCAAGAACGAAACCAGACTAAGACCCATAAATGAATGAAAAGAACTAATTTAAAAAAATCATATTTTGTTTTTATGATTTCTGTAACCCTGAGACCTCTACACCTGTCCACAGATGTGCTGGTCCACAGGCCTTCTGGTCCACAAGTGTCCAGTTTACCTGTCCGTTGGCATTCTGGTCCAATCCTCATANCTGGTCCACAGGCCTTCTGGTCCACAAGTGTCCAGTTTAMCTGTCCGTTGGCATTCTGGTCCAATCCTCATATAAAACAACAAAAAAAAACAGCTCCTGGGGCCTCATGTATAAACGGTGCATACAAATAAAAAAGTTGCATGCGCCAGGTTCTACGCCCACATTATGATGTATCAGAACCAACGCTGCGTGAGAGTGTGCGTATATTTACGCACACTTTTCACCTGCTGTGAGAATGTGCAGCAGCCATGCAAAGTTTTTCAGTCGACAGTTTTAACTCACAAAGACATGAATCTGACCTGAATCCACAGAAATATGACTCTTGTGTTTTCTGGATGTAAGGAGTGTCTGAACACGGTGTTAGATTTTTATTTTTGTTTGAGTTTTTATTGTTTAAACTCGAACGATCATGAAACTGAACCCCAGCAGTGAAAATCATTTAACCTCAGACAAGAAAATAGATCAGCCTAAAAATGATCAAAGAACCTCAGTCCAGTCTGTAAACTGTAAACTTTTTATATTATTGTCACGTAGTTGGAAACACGCAAATCACATGGCCTGCGGAGCGCACACACAAGCTGAGGGAAATATCAGTGAATTGTCTAAGAAACATTTTAATTCTCACTGAGAAAAAAATGTCAAGTCTGCAGAATAATTCAGAACAGTCCAGCTGTGATGATTCATCAGCTCCACAAGATGTAGACAATTGATTTGTTGCTGCGTAAAGTTGTGTGTAATTTATGGAACAATGTCAGCTGTTCTGCAGGCTGATATGACCACAAGAAGAATTGAGGACAGGTGTTTGTTTTTGTTTGTTTATTTATTTGTATCACACCGAAAAAATTACAATCAGATATTTTACTGTAGTGAGTCGAGCCATGCAGCTGATCTGAATGAGAAACTTCATGATTCTAAAATATAAATCACACCACGGCAGAAACCAGCAGCGCTGCGAGTCACTCGTTCCTTCACTTCAACTAGTTAATAAATATTTTTCTAAGTTCTACCAAACTCATCAGCTCCTCTGTGTTTACAGTCATTTATTAAAGATGTGTCAAGGTGGAAATGTCTGTCAGCCTCATGCACCGCTAAAACAGCAGCTTMACACSCACACAYCTTTGCGTGTGGCAAACACATTTTTACACCCCACTACTTATTTAGACAGTTTTCTCACTCATTCTCCATTTAATGTATAATTTTCCAGCATCTAAAAATCATTTCTGATCCCACAGAGAGGACAATCTGAGGAGAATCTCACACTCTGAACACATTTACATCTATTTTACATATTTAAATAGAGGCGTGTCAGGGGAGGTGTTTCAGGTGCGCTCAGTTCCACGTTCGTTGGGATGTATAAAGGAAAGTTGCACAGGAACCTGCGTGCGCACGGTTTTATACATCAGAATTTTTTGGTGCGGCACACTTTTCTAAATTTGTCCGTACGTCAACTTTTAGTGTGAAAGCTGTGCACTCCTTTATGCATGAGGCCCCAGATGTCTCAAGTCTGAAGAATTCTTCCTCCAGATGTTTCAGCTCCTTCTACAGAAGTTTAACAKAATTTAGATCAGGGCTCAGTTGGACACTTCARTGTTTGGTTCTGATCCATTCTTGGGTGTTGTTAGCTGGGTTTTGGGTCATCATCCTGTTTGAGGACCATGAAAAACTGTTGTGCTTTTGGCAACAGAATGGATCAGTGGTTAGCACTGACGCCTCACAGCAGGAAGGTCCTGGGTTTGATCCTGGGTTTGGACCTGAGGGTCTTTCTGTGTGAAGTTTACATGTTCTTCTTAATCYAAATGAGCCGAGACTGAGACCAAACTTTCTGACACTGAGCAAAACATTTTTCTCCAGAAAGCCTTGAYAGTYTTCAGATTTCTTCGTAGCCTGAACAGATTAAGATGCCGTAAAGCAGAACAGAACCAAACCTGCTCCGTGTTTCACTGCAGGTCCAGGGTTCTGGGGTCGGATTTATAAAACTGGCGTACGCACAATATGAGCCCAGAAACTTGCGTACGCCACKTTTYACGCCAAAGTTGTGATTTATAAAATCCAAACTTGACGTAAAAATGTGCGGTGCCTCACGCCAGCTCTGACCCATGCGTACGCTCATTTTGGGGATGGCAAACTGCGACACAGATGGTGAAGTGAAGAATTAGAGCCACACTGTGTAATGATCATTGTGAGATATTTAATTTCATTTCATAATCAGACTTCAGCTTTATCATCAGCTTTCTTAACAGTAWTATTTATGCTTCTGCTGCTGCTGAGCCATGAGGACCTTTGAAATAAAAAAAACCCTTAAATCTTAAATAAAAGTTCACGCAACACATTAATTTCTTTCCTCCTCCTCACGACCCTGACCCACAGACCCCTCCCCGACAAGACACATTTCAACAGCACGACATCA